AAAACAGTAAAATAAAAAGGCTTGGGCTAAAAATTAATTAATAAGTTTAGGCTGAAATTAAAACTATGCTTTTACCAAGTATCAAGACTAATCCATGGACTGTTCAAAAATAAAATACGATTTTTTTAAGCACTCTCGGGATTAAATACTAAACCCGACCAATAGTGGCGGTGAAAGGTTGTTCATCATTGGGTTTGGTTTTGGGGAGACATTTTTAGGTGTCTACAATACATAAGTTTCCTAAAAAAAATATATATAAATGTGTACAAGAGGAATCATGGTGCTCGACGACTACTACACGGTTGCTGCACATCCTACAAAATCCAAAACGAAGATTAATAAATGAAATGTAATAACTTCGTTGCAAAGAAAAAAGAAATAAAACTTACCGCGATCATCCGATGATCACGGCATGACAAAATCATGAGGGCTCTCCGATAAGTAGCTCGGAAAGCACGTAAAGTCCTTACCATGACGTTCACGGTCTCTCGCGAAACCTGTTCCAAGAATACAAGGCCAGTTAGCAAACAAATGTATATGAAAAAAAAATATTTAAGTACATATACATAAAAGACATACCGACTCAACCGTCTCATGTACGAACGGTATCCCCTCATCATCCTCGGCCGTTGGAAGGGTCTCACGAATTATCGATCCGACAGCATAGGTCGACCATGAAAAAAGATAAAAGGGTAAAAATTCCAAAAAATAAATAGAAACATGAAAAAAGAGAGTTAGAAAAACTAACCGGAACAAAGGCCGGAAAAGGAGTCAGCCTGGATGCTACATAAGCCGGATAAGAAGCGTCCGGCATCACCAGCTGCTCCGCTGGATAACCAAGGATCGCCTAAGCTTGATCCTCGGTAGACAGCAGGTCAGGACACAACATCCAAATGAGGGGATCCATAGGAACCAAAGGCTCCTCGGTCGAAAGCTGCCAGAGAATACGCTTGACTAAAAACCAAGCGTCGGTCCTCTAGAACACTGAAAGTCCCGTATAGAGGGCCCGAAAACGGCAATAAACCATGCCAGACCGGATATCCTCAGGGACTCCGACGATCAAACCCCAAGGACGACGATTGATTTATAAAACACAACCACACGAAAAATCGTTAGAAAATTAATAAAATCAAAAAACAAAAAGAGAACATGTAGTTGGAATACTCACCGGCGCACGAGTCGCCAAAAGAATCCTATGACAAAAGTCACCGGAAGAAGTAGCTCGTCTCCTCTTAATCTCGACCAATTGATGGCTGATAGGAAAACGAGTAGCCCCAAGCAACCTGGGGGCTAAGAAAGGCATGTATGAGTATCCTAAGCCTGAAATCGAGAAAATATAAGCCTAAAGGAAAAAACGAAAGTAATAACCGAAAAAATCTTGAAACACGTAACTCAGGGATACAGCCATGGCATGTAAGCGAGATCCGAGGGACCTCAGTAGCTGCTGCAGGAACCATGACCCGGGTCGCCTTTCCCATAGCCATAAGCATACGGGCATACGACACCTCCACCTAACTTAGGTTACCTACTTGCTCCAAATCGTTGAGGCAAATAAGTAACCCAATGGAAAAACGCTCTAATCGATTACTCAAGATGGTGACGGAAAGAACATGGGCAATGTATATCCGAGCCAGCTGCTTAGGGGTACACTGCCGGTCAATCTTGTTAGCCGAGAACTCGTCAGCAAGAATCGAGTACGGACAAGATTGCGTGTACACGTGAAGGGCCGATGCAAGACGGTCCCCCAAAAGCTCTCATCTGACCCCTTAACGAGCTCTATTACTACAAGCTTGCCTCCAAAAGGAAAACCCGTAATCATAGAGAAATCAAAAGGAGTAACCGTCATCTCTTCCCATGGAAAGTGGAAAGTGATGGTGGAATCCCACCAAAACTCGAGCAATCCACGGAGGAAAGCTAACGACGCAAACTTGATGAGTGGCATTTATGCCACTCTTTTATCCTTTTTCTCTAAGGATTCTCCCCTCATTTGCACTTGTTTGGCCCTTTTTCTAAGCATTTTTACCTAGTTTTGCTTCCTATTTTCGTTTCTTCTTTATCTTCCCTTTTCTTAGTCTTCTCGCCTTGTTTTTATTTTTTATTTCCATGCTTTTATTTTGTAGGTATTTTGTGCCGAAAGAAAGACGATTTCAAGGAGCAAAGCAAATTGTTCTGCGCGGGGTGCGGTGCGGCTGCTGTGCGGGCGTGCACCCTTGGCTGTGCGGGCGCGCAGCCTTGTCAGAACCCGCGCAGCCAGGCTGAAGAAACAGAGCCAAACTAGAGAGTTTGCGTTATTTATTGTGTGGCTTATGTGCGGGCGCGCGACCTGCTGCGTGGGAGCACATGTTTACTTTGTAGGCGTGCTTGATTTCCCCGTACGCTCAAAGTTGTGGCCGCGCATTATGCTGAGAGGGCGCACACATCTACTGCGCGGGCACGCATATGTTGTGTGCGGGCGCGCACCGCTGGGTTTCTGATTTCTTTGCGCCTTGTTGTCAAAGTTTCTTTCTTTTGGGGGAGCCACATATATATAGACGGAACTCTTTTTAATAAAGGACACTTAGTACTAATTTCATAGATCATTAGCCTAATCTAGAGAGAGAAAATTGATTGTTATACAAGCATCCTTTATTGTATTCAACCTTGCTCAAGATTTAATCTTCAATCAATCAAGCAAGAATCCAAGTTTTCATCTTTCATTAATCCTTTCTTTAGTAATCTCTTCTCCTTTCCTTTAGTATTATTTATTTGTTTTATTGTTACTTATTCTTGTTAATCTTATTAATTTATCTAGTTGTTATTGATTTCATTGATTTTAATCATGTTTTGTTTTAAGGTTCTTTAGTTTATTTCTAGTTTTGATATTATGTTTAATCTTCCTTCTCTATGCTAAACTTTTAATCTGCCATATATTTATGAAAGACATGATTTTTATTAGCTTGAGATTTTTGTTGCACTCTATTTGATGTTTTCTAGTTTAAATGCATGAAAGTGAGTTGAACTAGATTAAGATCATCTCTATTTTAATGATTGCATGATAATGAGTTATTAAAGTTGAGTTTTTATGGATTGTGCTTCTTTATTCTCTTGATTTGATTGTAACTAATAGGATGCATGAGAATGAACCTTATTAGTGTAGACCTCTTTCATTGATTTGCCTAGAATATTGCATGAGAATGAATTTTTTATGTTGAATCTTGTGTTCTTTGGCATGTGTTTCATGATAATCACAATTATTCCCCTCTTTCTAATCATATTGGACACCCCCGTATCCCTAGCGTCATTTCCCTTGATTTTAATCATCATTTTCTAGCTTATTTGTAGTTTTAGTGTTCTTACTCAACAAAACCAACAAAAACAATCCCCTTTTCACTCTTGCATTAGTGGTTATTGATGTTGAATTAGTGTGCTTCCCTAGTGGTTCGACCCTTTACATTCCAATAATTAGTTTAGTGTAGGTTTAGGTATTATAAATGATTAATTTGGTTAGGGTAGTATCTTAACGACCTATCTAACTTGTGATCAAATTTTGGCGCCGTTGCCGGGGAAGCGGCTTTTTTAGCGTCTATTATTGCTTTTGTTAGAGTCATTTTACTTTCTTTTCTTTTTGTTTTTTTATTTTATTTTATCATCCTTGTCAATTCTAATTGTTTGATTAGCTTTGGTGAATGCTTAGGAGGTCTCAAAGAGCACCCTCACATCAAATTAATCACGAAATCAACCGAACCTTGAGACAAGTCCGTGGGCTTTATCAAGACGAGGGAAGAGGTTTTGGTGATATATTTGATAGTGAGAGTGATTCTTACTCTTCAAGTTCACCAAGCGGATCAATTGCGGGATAAGAGAATGATGTTTTGTTTCGTGAGTTCGGAAATCCAGAGGATTATGAGCTCACTGGAGGGATTTTGCTACCCGTCATGGAAACCAACTTCTCAATCCATCCACAATATACTAGAATGGTCTAATCTGAGCAATTTTCCGGAAGTGCAAGTGAGGACCCTATTGAACATTTACCGATTCCTTGAATTGTGCGCAATGATGCAAACCAATGAAGTGAGTCAAGACTACATTCGTATGCACCTTTACCGGCAATCTCTCACCGGACGAGCAAATAAATGGCTAAAGCAAGTAAAGCCTAACACTCCCATAACAAGGAGGGAGGTGGTAAAGGCGTTCTTGAAGCGATTTATCTCCGAGGAGAAGACCACCGAAATGAGAAGGAAAATTGCATCATTTGAGCAACATGCCGATGAAAGTCTTGGTGAAGCATGGGAGAGATTCAAAGAAATGATACAAGCATGTCCCCACCACGAGTACAATCAAGGGTTGCTCATGCGGTTTTTCTACGTTGGATTGGAGCCCATGTCAAGAGCCAATTTAGATTTGGGGTCGGGTTGAAAATTAATCAAAATCCCTCAAAATCAAGTTGAAGCCACAATAGAAGAGGTAGCAAAGAATTACTCTTGGGGGGGCCGAAGAAGAAATGCTCCAAAGAGAGGTGGTATTAACGAATTGGAGAAAGTTGATCAATTACAACATCAAATTGATCAACTAACAAAAGGGCTTTCCTAGTTAAACACGAGTGTGAATGCAAGTTCAAGTGGTGGAGCAAGCTCCTCTCAAGTTAACTTTTTCTCTTATCAAAATTGTGGAGGAACGAACGATGATACATCTTATTGTGGAGGTTTAAGCCTCGAACATGTAGCGGCATACAACACAAGGCAAAAGGGATTTAGAGGAAGCGGCGGTGGAGTAGCTTGGAAATAACCTAACCCGGGTTTGTACCTCAACCTCAACAATGGAAACAACAAGCTCAAACTTCATAAAACTCCAACCCTCAATATCAAAATCAACCTCCATCTCAACCCCAAAACCCAAGAGGAAGCTATCCAAGGAACAACCAATACAACAATCAAACCCCAGCACCTCAAAGAAATCATCAAGAACAAGCACCTCAAGCGGAGCTAACTCAAACTCAACTCCTCCAAGCCATGCATACGCAAATGCAATCTTTAAGGAAACAAATGCAAGAGATAAGAGCTCACAACAAGATGGTTGATTCACAACTAGCTCAATTGGCCGAGAGAACTCCTTTCAATTCACAATCTACTCAACCCGGACAACCACAACCTAACCCATCTCACAACCCAAAACCCAATACGTGCAAGGCGATCACATTGAGGTTGGGAACTTCCTATGAAGGGCCTAATGAAGAGGATAGTGAGGAAAAGAAGGGGGAGAGCAGAGTGTGAATGAAAACAAGGGAGGTGAGAAAGAAAAGGGTGATGAGATAGAAGGAAGTTCGGAGAAGAAGAAGCTTGACAATGAGAAGACAATTTCAATTCTTAGTGAGGCTAGGAACCTTGATGGACCGGTTCCTTTTCCCGATTGGGTTGCGGAGAGGAAGTTGAATGACAAGTTTGAAAAATTTCTTAGTGTCATGAAGAATTTGCATATCAACCTCCCTTTTCTTAAAGTTGTGACACAAATGCCATCTTACTCCAAGTTCCTCAAAGATATTCTCGCCAAAATGAGAAAGATCAATGATGAGCTTATCACCCTTCCACATCAAGTGAGTGCTCTTGTCCAACATAAGATGCCCAAGAAGGAAAAAGACCCTGGAAGTTTCACTTTACAGGTGAAAATTGGGAACATGGAAGCTAGGGGCGCCTTAGCCGATCTTGGAGCAAGTGTTAGTTTAATCCCTCTATCCATTGCTCAAAAACTCAATATAGAGATGATCCCTACAAGGAAGAAAATTCAATTGGCCGATCGGTTAGTGAAATTACCTTGTGGAGAGCTTGAGGATGTTCCAATTCAAGTGGGACACATCTACGTGCCTTGTGACTTTGTAGTGATGGATATGGAGGAAGATGTTAACACTCCTTTAATTTTGGGACATGAAGCTCTTAAAACTTTGGGGGCGGTCATCAATTGCAAGAACAACACCATCACATGTGAGGTGGCCGATGAAAAGATTGTCTTTGAGTTTTCTAAGTTGCTCAAGACCCCCATGGTTGAAAAATGCTATAGAGTTGATGTTGTGAATGAGGAGCTAGATCTCTTGGGGAGGGTCGTGATGAGGTCTCAAGATCCAATGATAGAAGCTCTTACATGAAAATAATAGTTCCACTCTCAAGAGGCTAAAGAGTTTGTCATGGCAATGGAGGAATCCTCAAAGGAGGAAGTTGAACAACAAGTTGAGATCGAGCTTGAGTCCAAGGAGGAGAAATTGGAGGAGAGTTCTAAGCCTCTTTCCAAGGTAGAACTCAAGCCCTTTCCCCCTTCTTTGAAATATTCTTTTATTGATAAGGAGGGAAAATACCCTATTATTGTCAATGCTACCCTAGATGTTCTTAATTTGGAAAAACTTCTTGATGTTTTGAGAAAATATAAGGATGTGATAGGGTATATCATTGAAGATATCAAAGGTATTAGCCCTTCTTTATGCATGCATTGTATTCATTTTGAAGATGATCATTCCACCTCCATTGAACCTCAAAGAAGGTTGAACCCCAACCTTCAAGAGGTTGTGAAGAAAGAAATTTTGAAACTACGTGAGGCGGGCATCATCTATGCTATCTCCGATAGCAAATGGGTTAGCCCGGTTCATGTAGTTCCAAAGAAGGGTGGAATGACCATAATCAAGGATGAAAAGGGAGAGGAAATCTCCACCCGGACGGTGACCAGGTGGATAATGTGCATTGATTATAGGAGATTGAACAAAAAAACTAAGAAATATCATTTTCCTCTCCCTTTCATGGACCAAATTCTTGAAAGGCTTTCTAACCATGCTTTCTTTTGTTTCTTGGATGGGTACTCCGAATTTTTCCGAATCCATATCCATCTAAGTGATCAAGATAAAACTACTTTCACATGTCCATATGGGACATTTGCATACCGAAGAATGCCATTCGGATTATGCTATGCTCCCTCTACTTTTCAAAGATGCATGAGTTCCATTTTCTCTAAGATGCTTGAAAAAGAAATTGAAGTTTTCATGGATGATTTTAGTGTTGGTGGCTCGTCTTTTGACACTTGTCTTTTTAACCTTGAAAAAGTTTTGAAAAGGTCAAGAGACGAGTTTGGTTTTAAATTGGGAAAAGTGCCATTTTATGGTCGAGGAGGGCATTGTCCTCGGCCATAAGGTTTCAAAAAATGGCATTGAGGTTGATCCGGCCAAGGTTTCGGTGATTGAAAAGTTGCCCCCTCCTACTTTCATCACGGGGTTACGGGCTTTTCTTGGGCATGCCGGTTTTTACCGGAGGTTTATTAAAGATTTTTCTTCAATCGCCAAACATCTGACCAAATTACTCAAAAAAGAGGTTGTTTTTAGCTTAAATAAGGCTTGCCTTGAGGCGTTTCGTAAGCTCAAGGAAGCCCTCATTTTTTCTCCCGTTGTGCAAGGTCCGGTTTGGAGCTTGCCTTTTTAGCTAATGTGCGATGCTAGTGACTTTATAGTAGGTGTCGTTCTTGGTCAAAAGAAAGAAGGGAAATCATGTGTCATCTACTATGCATGTAGTACTCTAGATGAGGCTCAAAAGAATTACACAACAACGGAGAAAGAAATGTTAGCGGTAGTGTTTGCATTCGATAAGTTTTGGTCCTATCTTATATGCTCAAAAGTTATTGTGTACACGGATAACATCGCGGTGCGGTATCTCATGACAAAGAAAGAAGAAAAGCCTCGCTTAATCCGTTGGGTTCTCTCTCTCTAAGACTTTTACATGGAAATGAGGGACAAAAAGGGAGCGGAGAACTATGTAGCGGATCATTTGTCTAGGCTACCTTTTGAGAACAAGGAGGATGTACCAATTAATGATGAGATAGGATTCAAGGCTCTCATGGCTTTGGTGTCAACTTCTACCCCTTGGTACACGGATATAGTCAACTATCTTTCGTGTGGAGTCGTTCCCCCGGAGTATTCTTCTCAATAAAAGAAGAAGTTTTTCAAGGAAGTGAGAAGGTACTTTTGGAATGACCCATACCTATTCAAGCAATGTGGAGATGGTCTTTAATGGAAGTGTATTCCAAATCATGAATTTCAAGGAGTTCTTGAGCATTGCCTCTCACTACCATGTGGAGGAAATGGTGGTGTTAACAAAACAGTGGCAAAAATTTCTCAATATTTAATGTGGTGGCCGACAATGCATAGAGACGCCCACCAATTCGTTGCACAATGTGATAGATGTCAAAGGAGCGGAGGCATTACCAAGAGGGACGAAATTCCCCAACAAAGTGTTTTAGAAGTTGAACCCTTCGATGTTAGGGGGTGGATTTTATGGGGCCTTTCATTTCTTCTTGTGGAAATTTATTTATCTTGGTAGCGGTCGATTATGTGACGAAATGGATTGCAGCCATACCCTCACCTACCAATGATCACAAGGTTGTGCTTAAGCTTCTAAAGAAGATCATTTTTCCTAGGTTTGAAGTTCCGAGGGTGCTAATTAGTGATGGAGGCTCCCATTTCGCCAAAAAGCAATTTGAAGCTCTTCTCAAGAGGTATGGCGTTCATCACAAGGTTGGATTACCTTACCACCCTCAAACTCAAGGACAAGTGGAGGTCTCGAATCGTTAAATAAAAAATCTTCTTGAAAGGATGGTGAACAAATCAAGGAAATATTGGTCTCTAAAACTTGATGACACACTATAGGCTCTTAGGAAGGCGTACAAGACTCCAATCGGCACGACCCCTTATAGGTTGGTCTATGGAAAGGCTTTGTCACTTTCCGGTTGAGTTAGAATACAAGGCTTGGTGGGCCATCAAAAAGCTCAATATGGATTTATCGTTAGCCGGTGAGAAGAGATTGCTTAAGCTCAATGAACTTGAAGATCTTAGAGATGATGCTTATGAGAGCTCAAGGTTATAAGGAGAAAACCAAAAAGTGGCATGACCAACATATTCGAAACAAGAATTTAAGGTTGGAGACAAGGTTTTGCTTTTCAGCTCAAGGCTTCGTTTGTTTCCGGGTAAACTCAAATCAAAGTGGTCGGGTCCTTTTGTGATATCAAAGACTACTCCTTATGGCTCCTTTGAGTTAGATGCAGATGGTAACAAGTTTATGGTTAATGGTCATCGTTTAAAGCATTACTTTTGCAAGGAAGAAGTTGGTATCATTGAATGTATAATGCTTGATTCTTTGGATCCCAAGCCTCCCACTTGAAGAATTTTCCTCATGGTCAAGCTAGTGACCTTATAAAGAAGCGCTTCTCAGGAGGCAACCCGAGTTTCTAACTCCTTTCTATATTTTTTTTAAATATTCCGATTTCACTTTCTTTTTTTGAATTTGAATTTGAATTTCATTTTTCCCCTTTTGGTTGATAGGTGTTTGGATGATGAAGGAGCAAAGGATTTTCTATATCGAAGATGAGAGGAGAAAGAAATTGAATTTTACTCTGCGCGACCCTGTGCGCGACTTCTGTGCGGGCGCGCAGTGTAAAGTGTGCGGGTGCGCAGGCATTGTCAGAACCCACACACTTTTATTCGAAACTGGAGATTCGAGACAGATGGTTTGCGCGGCCTATGTGCGGGTGCGCAAGGAAGAGTGTGCGGGCGCGCAGGCACTGTCAGAACGCGCACACTTTTTATCAAAATTGGAGAATTGAGTCAGTGAGTCTGCGTGACCTAGTTTGCGACCCCTGTACGGGCGCGCAGCTTCCTGTGCGGGCGCACAGAGCTCCTCTGCGGGCGCATAGGTCTGGGAAAATCGGGTTTTAACCCCTTCTTCCCCATTTTGCCGTCATATTTTCACAAATCTCATTTCTTGCTATCTTCTCTCTCCTTACAAACTCAAATCCTAACCTTCCAATTTCGCCTATTTCTCACAAATTCCATTGATTCTCCTTCAAATCCATCAAAATTTTTCACTCTACTCACCAATTTCCCCACTTTCTCTCTCTAAAATACCCAAAAATCCTCCATTTTCATGGTTTGCAAGCTTAATAGAAGGTGGTGTTTTTGGGGGTTCTTAGTGGTGTTCAAGCTTCTACTAAGTTGTATAACTCTAAATTTTGCTATTTTATTACTTAGTTTCACTTGTTTATGCAAAATTTTTAGTTATTAAGCATGGATTAGCTTAAGTGAGTTTCATGTGATTTAGATTTTCTTTGTTAAGGATTTGTTGGTTATTAGTGTGATATTTAGTGATTTTGGGACATTGTTGTTAACATTATTGATTTGGAAGCTATTTTCATGAAATTAAGTTGAGCAATTTTGTGTTAGTATTGATGATAATGCAACTATTTTCATGAGAATTTCTTATTATCATAATGTATTTTGATTGAGTGCTTTGTTGTTGATTCTAGTTGTCTTGGGAGCTATATTTGTGTGGTTAATTGTTGGTACTAACCTTTTTGGATATTTTTAAGACTTGGGTTGTTGTTGTTGTCTTTCAATTATTAGTTGAGTTCGAAGGGAGTTATCTTTTGGTTTGGTTGATTGCATTGCTTGAGACCACAATGAGCAAAAGGAAGAGTAGAAAGGAGCCTAGGTTAAGGGATGAGGAACCGAGTACTCAAACTCTACAAACTCAAGCTCAAGGACCAAATGTTCCCCCTCGATTGAGATTCTTGAACAAGGTCCATGCTACTTTCTTTAATGACCTTGAAGGACGAAAGCTAAACCCCTCGAGACACTATGATCAACGCTTTATGAGAGATTTGGGGATTGACGATGACATAAGGTCGCTCCTTGACAACTTAGGGATGAGTGAGTTCATCAAGCATCAAATTCGAACATATAAAGAGCCAACCTTCGAATTCTTGGCCTCATTTGAAAAGGAGCCTTATGGGAACAACGACTTCCAAATTTCCTTCCAACTGTTCAACAACCAGCACATTATGACTCTTAGTGATCTCAATGCATTGTTGGATTTAAACCCCGAGGTGGACCTCCTTGCTCCGTCATTGAGCCTATTCCCAGAATACGATGCATTTCGATGGTGGCAAACGATTACCGATTTTGAAGAGTTCAACACTAGGTATTTGGTGGCCAACCATATTATCAACCATGTGCTCCGTATTCTTCACCGCATTCTGGGGTTTGCGGTGTTTAGCAAGCAAGACTTGAGTAAGATCTCGCATGAAGAGCTCTTTACTTTGTTGGTTGCCACCAGGGAGGAGTTCAAGGGGTAGCTCAACATGGGGTACTGGTTTGTCATGTGCTGCGAGGCAATCAAGTCAGCTCACAAGACGGGAGAAATTGCCCTTGGTGGGATGATTACAAGGATTGCCAAGATGCTTAACTATGAACGCTTCTTCCCCTCATGCACTTAAATTAGGTCCGATAAAGATCTATTCATTGGAATACAACAAATGAGAATGTCGGGGTTCCTCCAAGGAACTTCATATGCCAACAATTTTCATGCTTGGATGGTTGAGCGCGAGCACCATTGTATCTTGCCTTACCCCAGCCGTACATCCTTGGAGCGGAACGCTAGGAATGTATGGAAAATTCCGCGAGACAATGGTGTGCTACCCACTACTTTGGGTGGGGCAAGGAATATGGTAGTTGAGCAACAACAACAAAAGCAACAACAACAACAACAACAACAACAACAACATCATCAACAACAGCAACATCATCAAGGCATGAGCAGCCTTGAACAACAAATGATGAGCATGCAACTTGGCACGCAGAGCTTGATGGAGAACCAACAGGGTATGTTTATGCAAACCCAAGCTCTCTATGGTGCGGCCGTGGATAGGGGTGAGGTCACCCCCCGATAAATTACCCCTATTGGCCACCCCAACAAGGCCCGATCCCCCAGTGGCAGGGATTGCAACCTACTTGGCCCTATTGGCAAGGGCCCCCCTCCCACGGTGTTTCCCGGGTAGACTACCTGACAGAATTCGGGTACGATTATCGTGCCCTCGGGGGGAGTGATTTTAGAGGTGACCCCAACTGTCCATATGTCGACCCTACCCACCCTTCCCCTCTTCAGCTTCCCGCCCCTTTCGACCCGTTGCCTCAATGGCAACAAGACTTCTTCCAATGTCACTATGGTTGGCCTCCGGGTTTCACTGGTGGTTGGGACCCACACGACATCCCTCCGGACGGTTTCTCTTATTACACCGAGGATGATGGAGATGATGACGAAGCCGGCCCTAGTGGCCACTAGCCTCCCTTGTTCTTTATTTCTCCCCTTTGCCCCCTCCCAAGGAAATGATGATGATGCATTGTTTTAGTGTAGGGGGTGTGTAAGAGGCAAAGGGATTTTATTTTTATAGTGTGGGGGAAGTCTTGTCATCATGCTAGTGTGGAGGGGGATTTCATTGTAGGTGGTAGAGCTCGGCGGTAGAGCTCTCATGGTTCGGTTGGCTTTATCATATTTTGATGTTGATTTATCTTGTTAATTTTGATAAGCTTTTTCTAATTAATTTTCATGTGCTTGTGTAGGTGATGGCACTCCCATGAAGAAAAATCCAAACTCCCGATAGTCCAAATTTCCCTTAATCTGAATTTTTGTTAGTTTGTTTTATCTTATTTCTATTTCTTCATTTTGTTGAAATTCTTAGTTTCTTTATTTTATTTTTAACTTTTTTATTTATTTTTGTTTTATCTCAGTCGTTTCTTTCATTTTGGCTCTCTTTTCAAGCTTGGAAATGGAGATAAAGGAAGTTAAGGGGTAAATCGAGCCCCCTCGGTGAGATTGCATAATTTATCTTGTCTTCATTTCAAGCAGCGTTTGGTGAGACCTTTCCTCTCTTTTATTTTCTTTTTCTTTGGGTGTTTAGCTTAGGTTTAGTTAAGGAAGAAGTTGAATGGTTCGAGGATGTTTGCTTTTGGTTCTATGGAACCTGGGATCGTTGATGTTGTTATCGAACGATCACTTGTATGACGATTGGGATTTAATTGGATTATATGCCTCGTATGTTAACCTTTTTTATTTATTCCTCTTTCTTTTGTTTTGTTTTCCCCTTTTTGTGTTACAAGCATAATTATGACAATTTGAAATTATTTTTGATTTGTAATTTGCTCACTCTTTTGGATTGGTTTGCCTTTCTTGACGATGTGTCGTTGAATGCTTATCTTCCTAGTTGATGAGGGTTTACACGGTTTGAGAATGCTTTGGGTTGAATTAGACACATTGTAAGCTAAGGTAGCCCGGTTTAGAACTTTTGAGGACGTTTGAACCCCTAGTTCACGGGAAAGTGGTAAGATGGTGTTGCTCTCTATGGTGGATAGGATTCCCTTGGTTGGTATTTGCTATATTTCTTATCATGAGTAAGCGTTATTTGTTCTAGCCTTCATCATTCTTGTGAGCGGCATTTAGGATCCTTAACTATGCATATCTTTATCTTTGTGTTGGCGTCTAGCTCCCAAGATCAGGATCATATATCTCTACAGGAGGAAGACGGAATTTCTTCTCATTTTTCTTTGTTTTCTTTGTGTTTTGTTACAAATTTTGTTTTCATTTTTACATTCACCCTCTTTCTAACCAATTTGATCCTTATTTCCCCTTTCTTGACTTAGCCATATTACAAACCTATCGGCCTATGTTATACCAACCCTTGTAGTTAGTGAAGCATTGGCTTGTGAGGTTCGAGTTTGATAATGTTGAAATTGAGCAAGAAAGTTGTGTAATTTGGTTCAAATAAGGTTTTGAAAGATTATTCATGAAAAGAGTATGCAAAAATGTTTGGAAAGAAAGTTGAAACTCATGAAAATAAAAACAAAAAAAAATGTGAAAAAGATTGAAGTAATGTGGTGTGGTTTGTTTTGAAAGGTTGTAAGTTTGAGAATAGGTTCAATTCTTAGAATGTTCTTGAGAGATGGCCACTCTTACGCTTCTCTTAGGAATTGCCACCAAAATTTTCAAATTGTTTCCCAACCTTATCCCCTAGCCATGACTTTACAACCCTACTTAAGACCCAATGGAGAGAGTATGCATAGTTGAGATGTCGGGATGACCTTATGATTCCACATTAATATTTCTTTTTCCGGTTCCCTCGAGGAATCATGAGGAGCTAGCTAGGGGATGAATTGAAGCTAGTGGAGAGAACACGGACCGTCTTGGTTGGGGCTAGGGCGGAGAATGAAATCATTAGCTCTCTACTCTTAACTTAGGTTTGTCTTTTTGAACCTTGAGCATCTTGGAACATGTTTTCCCTCTTTGAATTGAGAAAGATAAGTATTCTTTGGTGCATTTATTTGCATGTGAGT